GATTAAGAATGATAAGCGAATCTTTGACAGTTCTAAAAAGAAATCTTGAATGACTTTCAATGGATAAAAAACCTATTCAAGATAGAGGTAAAACTTATTACAAATACATTAATAGATAGATTAAATATCTCTGAACAAAATGATATGCTAATTGTTAGTTTTCTGTGACATTTCTGTCAATATTAAGACTTAGGAAATGATACATTGATGTGTTCGAAACTTCTTCATTTTCAGGCTTATAAAATCAGCTTGATTATTTCTAAAGAATTACGACAAAACTTTCAATTCTTATTTCACGTTGTAGAATACTGTCTCTCTCTCTCTCTTTATTCTATGAAAAACTTAATAATAGAAGCCAATCAAGAAATGTATTGTTACTGTAAAAGACGTATACTGTATAAGTGCTGATTCAAAGAATCACAGAACGTGATGCAGTGAAATAAAAGGCAGTGGGGCAGCTATAATAAGAGAACCTCTTCAGATGTCTCCTTCCGATTTTGACAATTTTTTTCCCTATGTATACTAAACAGTATTTCTAATAAAAATTCTAAAAGAATTTGAGTTCTTATTGAAATTTGAACAAACTATCGAATTTTTTTTTTCTAGAGGCCCTACATAAGTTGTCGGAAAACTCGTATTCTCGAATTTTGACTCGAAACTTTGTAAAATAGAGAACTCAATTGGATTAACTTTCTTGAAAAAACTTGCAAATTTTGAATAAAGTCTCTTCGAGATATGAAACTTTCGAAAAACTCATATTGTATTAATTATACATAGAAAAGGATCTACATCTTGAAAGTCTCATATCTTGAAAAGACTTTGTTGAAAACTTCTGAATTTTTCTGTGAAAGCTAGTCTAGATGAGTTCTCTATATATATATAACATTTCTGATAATAATTCAATAGCTTACAGAAACTCTCATCTTTCTCGAATTTTTTTTTAAACACTATTTAGTATCTATAGTCGAAAAATCATTAAAATCGGAAGAGTAGCCGAGGAAGTTGTTTCGTAAACTGAATTAGGCACCTTTATGACGAAAACAAGAAAGTAGCACATAATCAATTTCAAATGAAGTATGATCAAATTTATCCTTTTTTTAGCTCTGTTAGGTCAACTACTTCGGTACAGACCTTATTTTTGAGTCTTTCAAAGATTTATTCCTTATTCTTAACCTATGACACTCCAAAAAAATTCCGAACATATTTTTCCGTAAAAGTACAAAATTCTAAATCTCATTCAATGCCTTAAGTTTTCTGCTGACTTTGGTCGAAAAATGAAGATATGTTTAGTCCAGAGACTTTCGTGCTACCAGCAACACCCCCATAGTTTATTGTTCTTGACTCGAAGAAAAAGAAAGATTAATTGAATATATTCTCTTAGTATTAAAATTAAAAATATATATGGACTTATAACAAAGCAGTAAGACATTTATGTAACTTACAAGCTGTAATTGTTGTGTATCCATCGTAATTTTGGTATCAACACTTTCAATTTTATATGTATCTCCAGTTTGAATTTGTTCTTTTGATAAATCTTGTTCAACCTATAAGAGAATCAGAAAAAAAGTAAAGTATGATTTAGCTGAAACCAAACAAAAATAATATTTTCTTACCCATACACTTGTTGATTGTTCTTCAATTAATGATAATCGTGGTGTTGGTGGAATAAATTCAGTATGAATAATAATCTCTTCTGTTGATCCTCCCGGTAAATGAACTTTAAGATCTTCATGTTTCACTGATTCCTCTAATGGCATATGATGCATCATTGATATCCGTTTATGATGTGGACTCATTAAATGTAAATGACTATCATCTTCAAGAAATTTCTTTTTCATAGGTGGTTCTTCTAATGCTTCTTGATATTCTAAATATGTATATATATATATGTATCTTTTTTTTGCAAAACTAATTAAAAACAAATATTAAAATTTTATATTTACCTTGTTGTTCGTCATCGATATCTTCCTTATCGACAATAATATGTGTTTGTGTCGAAGCATGTCCATAAACATTTTCGACATGAAATATATATATACCTTGTAATTCAGACGTTATTGAATCAATAGTTAATGTTGATGAATAATTTGTATTAACTATTAATCCATCTTGTATTGGTTGTGGTACAGTATCATTTGAATGTTGTACTTGCCATGTACAATGACATTGTACTGATGGAGAAAAATATTCAACTTGAAGTTGTACTCTTTCACCAGAACGATATCGATAAGTAGATAGAAGAGGTTGTGTTATTGTTGGTGGAATAAAACGATCAAGAGATGTTGCTGATGACCATGAATCACCAGCACTTAACCCTTGTTGACTCATTTGATCAGGTTGCTCCTCCTTTTCAGTAATGAAACCTAAAATTACAATTAAATATTTTCATTTTATATTTTTGAAAATTAATTATTATATGAAAAATAAATTTCTAAACAAAGAATTCTTTCTTTATTTGTAAATATTAAATGAACGATTAATTGAACTGAGAAATGTCAAACGTTATGTTTTATTAATAAGTGTGACAAAGGAAAGAATACAGACAATGATATTCTCGAAGATTGTAATCATTGTGTTACGAGCTAAGTAGTTGCCCTTTCTGAACAAAAAGTCTATATTAAACATTATGTTAAAGGTTAGTAATGCTAGTTTGTTTCCATTGCATGAAAGTATATAACTTTTACATTTACGTTCAATTACAAAGAATATGATTTGATTCAAATACAGATGAAGATAATACTGAGAATGTCTGAAATAGAGAATTATATATGCTTTGATGTTCAGAAAAGAATAAAAATAATAATATAATACAAAATAAAATTGGCTTGTTATTACAGGCAAAGTAATTTGTGCGTTGTTTTTCTCGTATCGTTATGCTTATCTATTTATGAAAAACAAAGAAACACAACAAAATAAACAATATACCAATCTTTAACAGACGTAGAAACAACAAGATTATTATATATGATGACTCATTCGACTATAATTAAGAATTATTCGAAGATGTATCTAACAAAATGTCTGCAATCAAAAAAGCAAATCTGTCGTCGTACAATGATATTGCCACATGTATTGCACTATTTTCTTAACTATTCTGGGCATTATCCTTCTAACTAATGAATGAATCAAGTTGAATTCGATATTGCTTGAAAACTATTATAAATCGAATACATTAGTATTCCATGCGGTATTATTAATTGAGAAGAAATGGTAATTATACACCCTCAAGAACACATACGATCATTCTGACGCACTATCATATAAAATATACGTAGTACTTAAACAAATAATTCTAATTATTCTTCTAAAAGGAAACATTATCATTTATGAAAAAAAAATAAAATAATTCATGAAAAAAAACAAGAAAACCTGAGGTCATTTTCAAATTAACACAAATTAGATACATTCTCATCTATATCTATACAGAATAAATTCAATATGTATATATTTTATAGTAAAATAGATTCGTTTTCATATTTCTAAATCTAAATAATAGTTTTGTAATCTAAGATATTCTTTCTTTGGAAATTTGAACTCACTGTCAACAAAGAGATAAGCACTAGATTCATCATGATATTTATCATGATCATAACTAATATAAATCGTATAAACTCCTTCATCTTGTTGTTCACATTGTCGAATATCCATCCAATAAAGATTCTCTTCTGGTATTGAATCAAATCGATATCTTAAATTATCATCACTTGTTATGCGTATATCATTTAAACGCCATTCAATATTTAATAAAGATCGATCAATATAAATATTTGATGATGTTGATAATAAACGTATTTTAGCTTCAAATCGTGCTGAATCACCATTACGTACAGTAACAGATTTCAATTCTTGTTCGAAACCAAATAATACGGAATCATTTACTTTAGTTCCATATTGTTCATCAATATGAACAAATCTTGGTATACGTTCTTCGTCGGATGCCATCGTTTAATTCAATAGAATATTAATGAGACACCCAACCGAATAACAAAAACAACAATATCAATACCGTGTAGCAAACTTAGATGATGATGATGAATACAAAATGTAGTAAGAGGCAGAGAAAAAAAACCGTTGCCGATTATCTACCAATACTACAAACGTTAGATGAAAAAAGAGACTGACAAACTCAATGTTTACTTGGTCATTGGTAGGCAGCTGTAGAGATGATATAATCATAGAAAAGAAAATCAACAACGATGCTAAATTTGTAGAAAGAACGAGAAGAAAAAAAAAGGAAAGACATATATATTGCTAAAAGTATTGCAGAGTCATAGGTTGAGAAGCTGTTTCCTCTTTTTCCTATTATCGATAGTTTAGACTTGTTCTTTCTTTGCTGTGTTAGTTAATATTGATATGGAATAGAAGGAGGGTGATGACCGATCCATATACATATAGTAGAAAAGTATGCATGGAATACAGGAATATATATAGATGTATGTATGCATATACACAAGCATAATTTATGGTATGAAAGGCTAGTAAGGACAAATGTTGTTGATAGACAATGCTGTTTTTTTTCCTCTACTGCTCATGTCAACGTTGACGCCAACATAGACAAGTTACTGACAATGACTTTTCATAGAACGACAAGGATATGTGGGCGTAACAGTCGGATACTGATAAGAGCTCTAATCGTATTTTCATATTACTGGTCAGTATACAACCAGTTAATTTATCAATATGTTACGTAATAATAAGGATACTATTAGACATCGTCAACTCATCAAAGTCAATAGTAAACTATATTCCATAAAAAAAAAACAACTTAAATTGAAATCATCATGATATCAATCGATAAAAGATAAACATATTTAATCGTAGAATAGGGTATGAAACTATTGTACATATGTGTATTATATATTCATTCCGTGAAAATAATATACTATTATGTAAGTAGAGTATTCTCTTGTATACAAGATAATAATCTTCTTTTCAGACAATAATCGATACTAATTCATATCATATATAATGTTATTTGTAATATATATTACATAAACTAATTATGAAATAAAAAAAAAAAATATTTTACCATGTAGTTGTTGTTGAATTCCTTCAATAGTCGTTGTAGTTCCACTAGATAAATCAGCAATACGAGCATCTAATTCTTCAACAAGACGACGTGATTCTTCATATAAAGCTTTTTCGTCTACAGATCGATATGATTGTGATCCTGTTAAATCTTCATGATCACTTGGTGGACTTGATGCAAATGATGCTGAAGACATTTCACTATCTACTTCATAGTGATAATCTACAATAATAACAAAAAGAATAATAATATAATGCTTTAAATATAATTTTTGTTTCATTATAATTACGTGTTACATCAACCGTAGTTGTTGTACTGGCTTTTCCTTGTTCATTAGTTGCTTCGCATCGATATACTCCGGTATCATTTGGATAAATATCATGAATAGTAAGTGTACATTTACCAGTTACAGAATCGAAATAAATCTGACGTGTATGTTGTTGTTTATCATTAATTAATACTTGTTGTTCATCTTTAAACCAACGAATATTTATTGGTCGTCGTCCATGCACAACACATGATAATTGTATAGTATCACCATCACGACATAGTATTGGTGTTGATGATAATGGTTTAATAAAATATAAACGAGTTGACAAATCATCTTCAGGCATAGGTGGTAATTGACGATTTAAAATTTGTACTTGACATGTTGATTGTGCTTGACCATGTCGATTTGAAATAATTAAACGATAAATTCCTGTATCAGTAATTATTGTTGGATCAATAATCATAAAACAAATACCAGTATCAGGATTATAATGACGACGAGTACGAGATTTATTTTCAGCAATAATCATTTCATTAATTAACCATTTTATTTGACATTGTATACCAGCCATAACTTGGCATGAAAGTAATAAACGTTCACCTTCTTCACATTCAATTTTTGATGGAAGTAATTGAAAAAATACGGGGCACATTCCTAATGATTCAGTGCCTGTATCAGAACTACTACTTGTATCAACATTTTTCTCTATTGGATGTGTTGAAAGTAATGAATGTGAACGAAGAACTTGTTCAAGATCACCAGCCGATGCACTACTACTTTCATCTGATGATGATGATGGAACTGTTTCTGGTATTGGTGGAAGTAATGTGTCAACTTCATATGGTGAATCACTCTAAAAATATTAAGATATGTTAAGAATGTCGTTTTTCTTTTTTTTTTCTATGATCAAAAAAAGTAGCAAAAGATTTACTTTTTGAAAAGTTTCTATTTGCTCTTTCCATTTGACAGTTTTTGCTATTTCTTTTTTACTTTCAGTTGAAGGTACCAATTGATCACCAATAGTTCGAAATGGTGATTCAACAGGACTTATTGTTAATGGTTGATAATATTGATTTTGACGATCACTTGTTATTTCATCAATACGAAGACGTTTGGGTTCTATTGGAAGTGTTTGTTCCTGTCGGTCATCATCTGTACGTTTTTTAGTTTCCGTTATTAGACGAGAAGATACCGTCTAGAAAAAATATAAAAATATCAACAATTTGAAAGATAAAAATTTAATCAATAATTTACTTCATCAGTTGGTAATTGTTCTTGTTCAATTTGTTTAATAATAACTTCACACGACGATGAAACATGATAATGTGCATTCAACGCATGACATTCATATCTACCTTCATGACGTTCTTTTGTTGTACTATCAATAGTTAATAAAGCAATAAAGTGTGCTGGTAATGTATCATAAGATGCATGGAATACACCACGATCAATTTCACCGGTAATTGTTGTTGTTGTTGTTGTTGTTGTTGTTGTTGTTGTTGTTAAAAGTGATGATGGTGGAGTTTCAGTACAAATAGCAATCAATTCTCCATTTCTATACCATTCAAACTTATCAATATGAAGGCCAGCTATACGACATGATAGTTGTAATGAAGTATTTTCAAGTGATATTGTTGGATCAAGTAATGGTCGATCAATACGTAATTCATACCAATGTAGTGGAAACATATTTTCAACAACAAAAGAGCTTTGATTATTTGAGATTAAGAATATTGTACTCGATTTATCTTCATCTAGACAAGAAAGAGATAGATTTGTCGTTTTCTTTTTCTCCTTTTTTTTATTACTATATTCGACAATTGGCTGTCAATCGTCAGATGTACTCAGTATATTATCGCTACAAAAAAAAACACAGATTTTTTTTGCTTTTTTCCACTCTCTAGATTTTTCCTTCTTTTTTTGTAGAATCAATTTTGTTGTTCTTTCACAGCATGTTATATTATACTATGGATGCAGCGTCGCATGGATAACATGCGTATGTATCTGTGCATGCCGTAACACATTACCACCATCATCGAGAAGAAACGAGAAAGTCAGAGATAGTATTATGGAACAAGGAGTGTTCGTTGTTAACATTATGTATTATCAACAGAGCATTATACGGCAGAGCAGTATAGAAAAGAAGGACGCTAAAAAAAAGACGAAGATAGAAAACGCAGAACCCAATGTGCCATCATATATGCTTCTGTTATCGTTTGTAAAGCGGTTCTCAATGACATTGAGGTCATCAAATATATATATATATAAATATATGGTAGACAGAAACTGTATATTACTGAGAAATTCTCTAGCCTTCTATTTAAAGACACTAGTGGGAATTAAGAATGATAATTTTTTTATAACTAAATATCATTGGTTTTCTAATACACCCACACTCGTAACTTATACAGGCTTCTTTCGTGAGAAAAAAAAAACAAATAATTTTCACCTAAAATATACTTTAAAATTTTCTTACTTTCTGATACTACATGTCCAGCTCTTTGAAGTACAGGAATTTTAGTCCAAGATTTATCCTCTAAATAAATAAACAAATAAATAAAATTTGAACAAAAATACCTATTGTTTTCTTTTTAATGAAATCTACAATCTTACGATGTTCAATTTTTAATTTAATTTCTAATATTTCAACAACATCATCTATACTTGTTGCTTCACAACAATATGTGCCATCATCCGAATAGAGTACAGAACGTATATAAAGTGTGCATTGACCTGTTCTTGGTTGATATCGATGCCACATACGAAAACCTCTTGCTTCAATTAATTCACCATTTGCATACCATGCAATGGATTTAACACGTTCACGACGAACATAACATTCAAGAAGCACATTGTCACCTGGACGACATATAAATGTTTTTGAGAGACGACTTAAAAAGAGTTCACCAGTATCGGTTTGTGATGTTGCCATTGTAGAAATGTGTGCGTATGACTATGCAATGGCAAAACTGATTGACTGACTATTCTTCTAATCAATACAATCTATAAAGATGAGGAAACAAAGAGAAGAAAAAAAAGTGTGAATAGATTGATGCTAACGACAATAACAAACAGATAGCGGAAAATGTCATTGTATAACGAACGTAGAAGAAAAATCACACATACATATAGATATTTCTAGAGCAATAATCACTTGTTCTCTAACATGATCATATTAATAGAAAAGATTGATATGTCAAGAAGTTATCTAACAAGAAGGGAGTGAACCGTACCCGCCTACATGATCTATATTTATTTCTGTGTCTCTCTCTTTCTACACTAACATCTTACTGCAAAATATTTTATCATATCTAAGTGTGAGTGTGTCCTTGGAATGGATGTCATTCTTCTTGTTCTCTATCTGATTTGCTTGAAGAAAAAAACAGAGTATCAATTTTCTATTTTCCTTATTCGTACAATTGTATGATCGTTGCTATCTAATGTTAAACGGCAGGTGATTTGTCGCTTATAGGAATGTTTCATAGATAAATTGATTGGAGACGAGACACATCGATGAAAAAACTTTTGCTAATATTTATTCGAACTAAATCATGTCTCTACCATTATCATCATTTAATCATATACGATCCAATAATAATCTCTACAGTCTCATGCAATACATAGAAACATATTGTTACGATAAATCTAAATACCGAAGAAAAACAAACAACAAGAAGAAACATCTTTGAATAAGACAATATTATTGAAGGATATTAATGAAAATCGCAGATATTTTTTGACTATACCATTTTCTTTTAACTGCATGAAGGACTATGAAATTTTTTTTCATGAGAACTTTTTAAAAATCATAATTTGAGTGAAATTATTCTATTATAATACTTAGACATAATTAGGATCAGGTGGAAAATTCCAGTCGTCTAGGCCTTATGTATTGTTATATGTTTTCATTTTTTTAGATTAACCAAATATCATTTTTGATATGATTTTGAACTGTCGCAGTGTAAAGCAAATTTGGCAAAGTGTTAGATTATTCACCTAATAATGCGGAATGTGATCCAAGTATAGATCACTGTTGAGAGACAGACTAGTTTTATTCTAGATTGGATTTTCTTATTGATATAAAAATTGTACTTACGTTTAGAATCAGTGTAAAAGGTGTTCGGGTGATGGTAGAGAAGTCATACAAAAATTAGCATTTGGCGTATCTAAAAAAAAAACATAAAAAGTACGAAGATGTGTTAAACCTTCAAGGCTAAAGTTTTGCATATAATCTTCAATACGTCTACGCATTATAACAGAATATTTGCACTAAAGTTATGGCATTTGGGAGGGCTGGGGAAAAACTTTCCTAGTGTCCTATGTATAAAAAAGCAATACTTATTAAATAACAAATGATGCTGAAATAAGGATATATATATATATGATTAGATCTTCGTATTCTTGCTCGATTTACCAATATTGCAATACTGTATAACTTTCAACAGCACAATTGATTATATTTTTTTTGTCTCGGTCTGCTGTTACTGACATATATTTAGTTTTCCTTAGAATTATAAGAGAAGCCCCAAACTGGTTAATCGTTTGTGAGTCCAGATCCGATGTATTATGTAGACCCCAATAAGATATAAATACCGTGAAGAGAATTTGCCCTCATAACATATTGCTGGAGAGACGCTGTATTTTTACGATATTTTTTTTATTGTTTTCCTCAGAAATACAAAAACAAAAAATGTCGAAATTTTGATTCAAAACTTTGCACAGAAACAAATTTTTGTGAGAATAGTCTATTACGAAAGTTTCAGACGTTTTCACGGTTTCTATCTTACTACCACCGGCAAAATTAACGCTACACGTATTTGTGATAGATATTTTCATTAATGATCAACCACGAAAAATATAAGTTTTTCAGAAATTTCTTTTCATGTACAGGACTTTGTAGAGCTCGTTTCGCTGATCATTTTGGTAAAAAGAAGATTCAAATTTACTCAATAAATAATGGTATTAGAGTCAAAATACTCAAAACTAACGACTGTTCGCGACTGCTGCTGATTAGTAGGTGATATTTTGGAGTATTCGAAGCCAAGGTCCGTTACTTATCGGGTAAATTTGAATATTTTTTTACCAAAATGACCAGCGAAACAAGCTCTTCAAAGTCCTATAGACGCTATAGACGAAAAAAATTTCTGAAAAATTATATTTTTCGTTGTTGATCATTAATGAAAATATCTATCAAAAATACGTGTAGCGTTAATTTTGTCGGTGGTAGTTAGAATACAGCTATGTTAAATCTGAATTTTTTACACTGCTCATATACAACACATATTCGAAGGTCTTACTTCAAAATACAAAACAGAGAAAACATCCGAAATTTTCGTTAATAGACTATTCTCACAAACATTTTTTGCTACTCAAAGTTTCGAATCGATCTTTACAAATTATTTTTCCTGATATTCCTGAGGAAGATCATAGAAAAGTTATCGTAAAAACGCAGCATCTCCACATTAATAAGCTAAGAATCTGAATTCTTCTCAGGGTATTCATATCTCATTATAGTCTACATGGTGCACATGGCCTCCATGCAAAAGCAATTAATTAGTTAAAGAAGTTCCCCGGTTAGTATATCTATCATAATATCAAATAACGAAATTCTTAGACTTTTATATATTCTAAACAACTGATAATTCATTGACATTATATGATGTGGATTTTGAGTCGGATAGTATTACACAATATCAGTCGAACTTCTGTTAGTATGTCATTTAAGAGAACAAGATTGATTGTCATTTCATTTTATCATGTTCTGTTAAATCTCAACATAATTGACTTTGACAACCATATTCGTGTACTAAATCGAACGAATAGTATTGAGCCAACATTTATGGAATACATGGATGTTTGTCATTCTAGTCTAGTTCGACGAAGAAAGATTATTTATTGAAGGATAAAAATAAAAGTATCGAGTAATATTTGCTTTAATTATATCCTAGATTAAGTTATAAAATCATAATTTTCTAAAATAATATACATTTTATATTGACTTGGACCTTTAGCAATTGATTTCTATTAAAAAACTGTGTATTAAAAGATTTTTCAATGATCAATGAAATGATTAATCACTTTTAATTAATTTAGGAATTCGATCTGATATATAATTTATAAATACAATAAAAAAAAGAACAATTAATTTTTGGTCACGAAAAAGTTTCATATTAGAATAATTTTATTTTATCATCTCTTTTGCTTCACCTCAATTATTGAAACCTTCGACATAGTAATATTGCTTTTTAATGAATGAAAACATAGAAATTATCAAATTTATCATCCTTCAAGCTCATTCTGTTTACATGGAGAATTAAAATGTTAAACAAATACAACTCCAGAGTACATATAGACCAACACACATGTGTAAAGTTTTTTTGTCTATCATCAAATGATCTATCGCCTAAAAGCATCATATAAATATTCTATTGCTTTGCAAAATTATAAATCCATAATGCCAATAATACAAATGTAAATTTTTTGATGAGTGCAATGTAATGTGTCTGCAATTCGAAATCTCAGCAACATTTTTTCTGCACTTTTCTTTGTTCTGGTTCGATAGATCTTATTGATTTAAGCCTTAATATATATATCCCATATTTTTGTCGTTGACTTTACTCCTTATATGACTGAGGAAAATGAAACATGAGTTTATAATTGATAAAATCAAGTTTTTTGGATAAAATTGCCAAATACTATAAACACGAGTTTATATTCTGAATCAGGAAAGAAAAATTGGTATCACATAGTATACTCCATTCTTAAAGCGAGCTTTCACCAAATTTCGGATCTTACATCCCCTCTCTAGTTTTTTTTTTTTGAATAATCTGATCTGTAATTCTCCTAAGATCAAAATTTGACATAAATTTATTATAAGTATTGAGCATACTATTCGATGCAGACTTTTTTTTGCTGACTGTAAATATAATGTTCGATTTATTTCAAACAAAATTTCTGAGAGTTAAAATCTCTAAACACAAACCAGTACTTATAATGTTCTTTCCATCATATCGAAAAAATTGTTGTTCTCAACAATAAAATAGTATACGACTTTGTTCCTAATCAAATAATGATTATAACCAAAAACAAAAGTATTCAAATAAATATTGAAGCTTTTGGCATATTTCAGTTGATCCTCCGAGAATTAGTTGCAATATTGAAAAATAAAATCGACAAAAATATTTTCTTAACATTAAGGAGATATAACTCAGAACAGTTCAGAAAATGACTAATAATCTGTTCAAAGACAAGAAACATTAGGCAAGAGTATAAAAACGAATGTTTAGTAAACTCTTTTAATTGAGCATAAATTTGTGATTACTGTTTTTCAATAAGATCATCTACAAGTCCATCTCATAAGATAAATGTTCGTTTTTCACATGCTACCTTCATTTTTGCATAGTGTTGCATGTAATTGAATCATATGTCTATAAAATGAAGTTTGTGAGAAGTGAAATAGGAACTACATTTTTATCATAAGTGATTCATTATTTTAGCGTCCATTTCAGTTCTTTTAAACTTTTTAAATCTTCCTTACAAAACCATTATTGCAATATATATGAAAAACAAACTTTTTCAAGATATATTAACGAGCTTTATCCAACTGTAAAAAACACTAGATTTCGGATCTTCAGCATCTTATAAATAGCAATGAACTTATATATTCGTTGATCAATACTTTGCCCATTGATGGATGATATTAGTATTAATGAGAATATAAGTATGTGAAATGTTCACTTTACTTTAATAATAATGACTAAATTCCAATAAAACGTCAATTAAAATGTTTTTCTTTTAAATAAAAATGCCACATCTTCAGATTGTTTTCTTTTTTGTCACCAATCCTCATGCACACACGCACAAACAAGTGCACAGAGAAAAACAAAAGAACGACATAGGTACAGACAGAAAAAAAAACCGATATGAGAAAAA